TTTTTGAGACAGAGTCTCCCTGTAGCCCCAGCTGTCCTGGAACTCACTATGTAGACCAGGCTGGCCTTGAACTCACAGAGATCCGCCTGCCTCTGCCTCCCAAGTGCATGTGCCACCACACCCGGCCTTTTTAAACATTTAAAAAATATTTTATTTATTATTTTTATTTTATGTGTTTGTGTATATTGCCTGCGTGTAAATAAGTGTATCCATGTCATGCAATGCTTGTGGAGAACAGAAGAGGCTGTCGGATCCCCTAGGACTGGAGTTATGGACAGTTATTAGTTGCCATGTGGGTTCTGGGATCTGAACCTGGGTCTTCTGCAGAACAACCAGTGTTCTTAACTGCTGAGCCATCCTCTCCAGCCCCATGCTTAGGTCTTAATGTCTTCCTATGACAGGGTAGAGTGAACTCCTGGGTAGAGTCTTTCCTATTCATGCTTGTTCATAAGTATTGTGAAGTGTTTTGGAGTAACTGTCTGGGAGGGAGTCCCTCCTTACCCCTCCTTCCCCCAGCTGCTCAGGGTCAGGGACCATGTATGTTCTGTCTCTGGTGTTTCCCGAAAGTTCAGTACAATAAGACAAAAAGAAGACTAACTAACCCATGAACCAACTTACCAATCTCAGCCTGCAACATTTCAGGGATCTTCACTCGAAGAGGCTGTAAAGCAAAAGAAAGGGGGCAGACATAGTGAGGTTGCAAGCTCCAAGTCGATGGACCGTGTACAGGTGCACAGGGCCTGGCAATGCCACCTCTTCTCCTTTCTTGTTTACACCAACCCCTCCCCTTTCTTATCTCCAACTCCATACCTGAAGTCTAGGCTAGGGCTTTGGGAAATAGGGGGCAGAGTGTTTTTTTTTTTTTTTTTTTTTCCACTCTTCTGCATGGAATGTAGGATGGCATGTTCCAAAACTGGATCAGGGGTAATTTAGCTGCTTGCTTTTTCTTTTGCCTCAGAGTGGTCCAAAGAGGATACTCTCTGCTAAACTATTTGTTGGACTGCATCTCTCCTTCACTACCAGGGGAAATTGGGTGTGAGTCACCTAGTGTTGCAGTTAGCATGATGTTCTGGCTTTTGACATATGAATCTTTTGCCATCTGGATGGGTATCAGGGTGGTTTTGTAACAGCCGATAGCTCTACCTTGGCAGCTCTAACTTACTCAAGACCCACTTAAGGGAGTGAACATAAATATGTTAAGGAAAATTAATTTTCCCCAACCTCATTAGCCCTGGTAGTTAAGATTGCTAGAAGAATAATGCCATTCTGGCATTAGTTTATTTGATCAGATTAGAAAGTCAGGATATGAACTGCCATTTGCAGGCAGACGCTTCTGGCCAGCAGAATCCTGGACACATTCCTGACAGTCAAGGCCAGATGTAGGGAGGCTCTTCCGACCAAGGTACTATGACCTTTCCCCTCCTGACTTCTGTCTTTGAGGAATAACAAGACTGGATGAGTCTCAGAAACGTGCATCCTTCTTGCCTCACTAATCCAGATCACCTGATGTTCCTGAACCTATTTCTCCATCCAAGAGGACAGGACTGGAGGAGTAATTAGAACTTGACACACTCTTTCTCCAAACATTCTGAAGAGAGACAGTATACATTCTGTAAGTGGAACTAAAGAGACTTACAGAAGAGATAAATCTTTAAGAGGAGAGGTAGGACCAGAATCTAAGGATCATAATCTCTCAGAGTGCAAGTTCTCTTTAAAAACTTGTCTCTACTTGGCTGAATATTTTACTTGGTTTTTCCTCTACTTCTGGTGCAAAAAGTATGAAATTGTAATCGAATCCATGACTGCCTTACCGCACTTTTCTCTAGGAAAATATTCCAGATGTCTTTTCCCAAGCTTCGGGAATCCTTGGGGTTTGTCTGTTGATAAACTTCTGAACACAAATAAAAAAGCTAGGAAGACAAAGAAACTGGGTTAAAGCAGTGGATCTCATCCAGGGGATGTTTGGTAATGTCTAGAGACATTTTTAGCTGTTATACTTACTAGGGGAGTGGTTTGTACTGCCATCTACGGGTAGAGTCCAGTGATATGGTTAACACAGCTTCCCTCAACAAAGAATTTTCTCCCATCTAAAACTGCAACAGTACTGAGCCTGAAAAACCTAAGGTAAAGTAATCTCTACCTCCTTAACATGTTCACATTTCAGGGTCCATTCTCTATTCTGTATCCTTTCCATACATTTTTTTGGAGACAGGGTTTCCCTGTACCCTCAGCTGGCCTGAAACTTGTTACATAGACCAGACTGGCCTCAAACTCACACAGATCCACCTGCTTCTGCTTCCCAAGTGCTGGGATTAAAGGTGTGCACCACCACAAAAGGTTCTTATTTTGTGTTTCTTTGTAATGTGCCCCCTCTTTCTCAGGAATGTTTCTGAGACCATCAGCACTTGGGACTTAACAAACAGGTGTATGATTCCCTGTTGAGCAAATGGATGTTCATTCTGGCCAGAGATTCTGCCAACCACAAGCAGGCATTCAAAAAAGACTGACATTTCTGACTTACCAATGGACCAGGGTCTGCCTGAGAGAAGATGTAACGTAGAAAAACTGCCAGGTGAGCTGGTCGTGACTTCAGTTTTTCAAGATCTTGGAAAATGATGTCACTCTGGAAGGTAGAAGGATAATGGCTGGGAGGCATAGAAGCAGGGGACAGACAACTTAATACCCACGCTCTCCACCTTCAGGCTCTGTCAGCTAAGCCTCCTTCCTCTAGGCTCCTTTCATAGCTGGTGCCAATCAAACTGCTTCCAGTCAAGGGCAGCTTATATGTCAGAAGGAAGATAAAAGGAGAAAGCCAGGAAACTGTTACCTCGTTGTTGAAATAACCTGGGTCACAATCTTCCTCTGGGCCAATAATCAGAGGCTTTAGGTTTTGATCTACATCCTGAGGGAGAGAGTTAAGATGTAGTGATGAGAGGTTACAGAAAACAGGGATTCAACCTCTCCAGTAGCATCTGGTTAGCAGTCGAACACTTAAAAAGGCCACTGGGTCCTTACTACACTTACAGGAAGCCATCTGTTTCTAGGTGGGGCACAGCAGACACAGAGCAGCCTGGTCACATGACTTAGGAGGACGGAAAGTAACAGAAAATGTTCTCTTCCTTTTGCAAAAGATTTGAGGATCTTTTGTTTTTCAACAAAGTAAGAGCGAACTTGACAGCACCTGATGGACTACTGGGCTGGGGACCTTGTTTTCCTAGACAGACTAAATCACCACCCTTCTCCCTAGTGCACAGTGGACAGGCAAATAGCACAGCTTAGTAAACTCTCTGCCTTTAGCAGCATATTTGCCTCTCCTTGAACAAAAGGGGTTGGGGTTGATATTTCTCAAATACTACATGCATTATTTCTCTTGGCTGCTTAACAATCTATGGCAGATCCTCATTCCCTGTTAAAACCTGGACTTCTTAGCTGGCATTTCTTTTTCTTTTCTCCTTCTGTGAATTTTAATAAAATCCTAATCCTGACTTAACAGTAATTACTTAAGAGAGACTTCATGCTACTTTTCAAATGTTTCATTAAATCAGATTCTTGTAAAGGTTCCCCAAGTTATCAAAAGTTTTCTAGTAATTGTATTTTCTCAATGTAATCCCACTCATTTCCAATGACTGACTAAGAAAGGCTCTGCGTCTGGAACCCACCTATTTTTCTTATGCCTAATTTCAAGTAGGTTTAGAACAAATACTCTTCTCATGCACTTTCCCAAGGGGTTCTCCCTAATGCTTTTCTTTCTTTTCTGTTAGAGGGAAAGTCACCCACCTCAAACCCCAGAATTGCTGAGACCCTGAAAGGATCACAGAAATTGGAGTCTAACACACATTTACAATTGAGGGAGGCCCTGAGTGCGACTAGCACACTCAAAGCTACAGAGTTAGGCGTATTTGTGCTTCTCACACATATCTGGAGATCCTCCAGTCTTGTAACACCTGGTCTCTGAAGCCCTTGGTATCTAGATTCCCTAGGATCCTGGGAAGCACAAAAAAGACTAGATTTAGTTTGTTTGGAGAGGATTTTTAAAAAATAATTTTAAAAGTTTTCATACATGTGTGTATCATATGTTGAGCATACCCCTCCACACCTTCCTCTTCTTAGTGTTTTCATACATGTGTGTATCATATGTTGAGCATACCCCTCCACACCTTCCTCTTCTTAGTGTTTTCCTCCCGTTGCTTCCCTTTATCTTTTTAGACAGTTTTGCTTCAACTTACATGTCATATACACAAACAAGATTTTGTGTACCTTTATAAAACCTATGAATTATTATAACAGATGAGCAAAAATATATGATTTTTGTCTCTCTGAACCTGGCTTATTTTTATGATTATCTATGGTTGCATCCATTTTCATGCAAATGATATGACTTGGTTCTTCTTTTATAGCTGAAAAAAATTCTGCTGTGTACACATAAATTTTCTTTATTCATTCCTCTGTTGCTGGACACCCCAAGGCTGGTTCCACAGCTTAGCTACTGTGAATAGTGCAGCAGTAAAACACTGATGTGCAAGCTTCTCTGTGATACCTTGACTTCATGTAAAAACCTGGGATTGATATAGATGGTCAATGTTGCATAGCAATTTCCTCCAATATAAAACATTCCATTCTGTAGGGAAGCTCATTAAGACTTAGGAAGTAAATAACTCAGAAGCTTCAGGAAGTCTCTGAAACTGACCTGATGCCCTAGGCCTTTCCCTCCCCAAAGGTCTATAAGCTGTAAGAACTCCTGAGAGATACTCTCAGACACAAGAGAGGAGAGACCAGCTGAATTGCCCGGAAGACCTCAGACCAACTGAGCTGCCTGGAAGAGACATTCACCAACCTGTCAAACTGCCTGCAAGTTATGCAAAGAGCTCTAGAGCTTATGCAAAGAGCTTTCATCCATGATGGGGTGGGCTTTTGGTGATGCGGTTGTCTTGAATCATTTCTGCTCCAGAAGTATTCCCCCACTCATACTGTTGTTAAGTAACCCCAATAAAACCAATGTTCACCAAGTTGGACTTTGGTGATTTGGACCTTACTTTGGTCTATCGTTCCTTTCTGGGATCAGGAGACATTTGTTCATGTCTCCACAGGAAGTGTCACAAAACAGTTACATATATGGAAGACCTATTTTTAGTTTTCTGAGATATCTTCATATTAACTTCTATAGTAGCTGGACTAGTTTATATTGCCAGTGGCAATATATAAGGGTTCTCTTTAATTTATACCCTCACCATCTTTTGTTGTTTTCTTTTTAAAAATTTACTTATTTTTATTTTTTTATTTTATGTGTATGAGTGTTTTGCCTGCATGTATGTAAGTGTACCCATGTCTTACAATGACCTTGGAAGTCAGAAGAGGATGCTGGGGGATCCCCTGGAACTGGAGTTATGGACAACTGTTAACTGCCATGTGGATACTGAGAACTAGACCTGGGTCCTCTGTAAGAGCAGCTAATGCTCTTAACCACTGAGCCATCTCTCCAGCCCCTGTTATTTGTTTTCATAATGACTGCCATTCTGAATGGGATAAGATAGAATTTCAATATAGTTTTGGTTTGTATTTCTCTGATGGCTAGTAGAGTATCTTTTCATATGTTTAAAAAATATTTTGTTATTTTTATTATTTTTCTATGAGCCTGCATGTACGTAAGTACACCTATGTTATGCAATGTCTCAGAAGAGGGCGTCAGATTCCCCTGCAACTGGAGTTACAGATTGTTGTTAGTTGCCATGTGGGTGCCTGGGTCCTCTGCAAGAGCAGTCAGGGATTTTTTTTTTTTTTTTTTTTTTTTTTGGTCTTTTTGAGACAGGGGCTCCCTGTAGCCCCAGCTGGCCTGGAATTTGCTATATAGACCAGAATGGCCTGGAACTCACAGAGCTCCGCCTGCCTCTGCCTCCCAAGTGCTGGGATTAAAGGCATGCGCCACCACACCCATCTCAGTCAGTGCTCTTAACCTCTAAGTTATCTCTCTAGCCTCCTCTTTTCATATATTTATTGGTCATTTGTATTTCATCTTTTGATAACTGTTCCTTCATTTCATTAGCCCATTTATTGACTGGGTTGTTGGACTTCTTGTTTAGTTTTATTTGAGTTATTTGTATATTTTAGATAATTTTTATTAGATTTTATTTATGTTCATGTATGTGTGCCTGTGTGAATGTATGCCACATGTGTGCAAGTGCCAGTGGAGGCCAGAAAAGGGCCTTGGACACCCTGGAGATGGAGTTACAGACATTTGTGAGCTGCCTAAAGCGGGTGCTGGGAACCAAACTCCAGTCCTTTGAAAGAGCAGTTTGCACTCTTAAATACTTATCTCTCTAGTCCCCATAGTCTAGAGAATGGCTAGTCAAATGTATAGCTAGCAAAAATTTTCTCCTATTCTATAGGCTCTCTTCACTTGATTAACTGGTTTCTTTGCTGTGCAGATTTCTGATTTCAAGAGGTACTACCATTTGTCAATTGTTGACCTTATTTCCTGAGCTACTGTAGTACTATTCAGAAAGTCTTTGCCTATACTATAAAGTGTTTATCCTATCTTTTCCTCTATCACTTTCAGAGTTTCAGATCATAAAGTCTTTGATCCACTTAGAGTTGATTTTTTGTGCAAAATGGAAGACAGGGACCTAGGTTCATTCCTCTAAATGTGCATATTCAGCTTTTTGTTGAATAAACTGTCTTTTCTTCAACATATACTTTTGATGTCTTTGTCAAAAATGAAGTGCCTGTAGCTAAGTGTGTTTATAACTGGGTCTTCTATTTGATTGCAGTGAGATCCCCGCAGATCTGGTCTGTCTCTGTGCCAGTACCATGCTGTTTTTATTACTATAGTTCTGTAGTAGAACTTGAAATCAGGTATGGTGTTAAGCTTCAGGCTGTTCCCTTTTTGCTCAAGATTGTTCTGGCTATCTAGGGTCTTTTGTACTTCTATATGAAATTTTAAGATTGTTTCTATTTCTGTGAAGAATGGCACTGGAATGTAGATGAAGACTGTACTGACTCAGTAGACTGATTTTGGTAAGATTGCCATTCTCATAATATTAATTCTTCTGAACTTTGAGCACGGAGGTTGTTTGTTTTTGGACTTGTCTGGTATTATAAATGTTTTTTATACCTGGATGATCATTTCTTTTATTAGATTTGGAAATTTTCTTATGCCCATGGTTTGTAGATTTGGTGTTTTCATAGTGTCTCATAGATCTTCTATTTTCTGTTTATACCTTATCTCTTATTTTATTTACTTTTTTTTTTTTTTTTTTTTGAGACAGGGTCTCCCTGTAGTACCAGCTGGCTTGGAACTCCCTTATGTAGTCTAGGCCGGACTTGATCTCACAGAAATCTGCCTGCCTCTGCCTCCCCAGTGCTGGGATTAAAGGTGTGAACCACTATGCTCGGCTGTTCATATCTTCTTATTAATTTATCTTTGGTACTGACTGAATGTTCCATTTCTTTTACATTGTTTCCAAGCCCTGATACTTTGTTCTCCGGGGAGGATTTCTAACTTTTTAAAAATACATACCCCCCAATACAAATCAAATTATAGAATTATGTCACAGAAAGTGAGAGCTCCCTATGCCTGAGAGACAATATGGGCCACCCTCTATGCTCTTATTGGCACATATTATTAAAACATTGGAACTATGCCAAATTTGTTCCTACTGCATAAGAATAGTTTTGAGAGATAAATAAATTCAAAGGAGGAACACAGGAACTCCAAGAACATCTTCTCAGTACCTGTGCCAGTTAACCTAACCACCTGGGTAAAACCTTCTCATAGAACAGGATATACACCCAAACGCCCACAGCACCCTAAATTTGGTCCTTGAGTTCTATGAAAGGAGAAGGAGTCGTCATCTAAAAAGTGGTGGTGGGCTGGAGAAATAGCTTGTCAGTAAAGTGATTGCCTTGCAAGCATGAAGACCCGAGTTTGATCCTTACAATGGCAAATCTCAGACTTTTTTTTGGCTATGCCTTCCAATAATATATTTTTACTGCAACCTAGTACGCATGTATGAAACCATAACAGCTATTTTACATAATACACTTGCTACAGTAGTGAATTCTGATATTTTCTTGTACATGCTATTAGATTTTACTTCATTAAAATAAACACTGCTCTTGACCTTTATATAAATACTTTAATAAATACTGCTATAACGATTCACCAAAAGGTTACAGCTCATAGTTTGAAAATATCTTCCTTACACCAATGTCCTCCAATGTGAGAAATTCAACACTGGTGGAATTTAGGGTGATTTCAGGAGAAATGATATTTGGTAAGGCTGCAAATGACTTTAGGTGGAACCAGGACATGATATAAAACAACAGTACCTTTGATTAATCCATAGAAAGTTTCAGCCTGCCTTGAGTCTATCTTTATACCTTTTACAAAGGTAGAATCTGCCTTAGACTTTAATTAAATTTACTGACAAGCAAAAGAATCTAGCTAGAGTTCATATTTTAAACTCTAGTTATTTATCTCTTCAAATTGGTATCATATGAATTTTTTTTAATAAATGATACATTCACATAGTTTGGAACTCAGGATATAAAAGGGTAATTCTAATGGAAAGTTTCCAATGTCTGTTCTTAAGCTCCTTGGAGGCGATAACCCTCAGTTTCTTACAAGTCCATCCTGAGATAGTGCCACTGCCATGCATCTTTTCAATATAAAGATTCAGTTTTTGCCAGGCGTGGTAGTGCACGCCTTTAGTCCCAGCACTCGGGAGGGAGAGGCAGGTGGATCTCTGTGAGTTCAATGCCAGCCTGGTCTACATAGTGAGTTCCAGGACAGCTGGGGCTACAGGGAGACCCTGTCTCAAAAAGCCCAGAAAAAAAAAAAAAAAAAAAAAAGAAAAAAAAGAAAAAAAAAGAAAATCAGTTTTCTATCTCCACTGTTCTGTATCTTTCTAGGTAAGACTTTACAAAATCATTTCTAAACATGTATGTATGTTGCCTTACCTTGCATTTACAGTGTGTGATATTGGTTATAAATGAAACATTGACAAATTTCCTCTAAATGAATTTAAGTTTAAAAAAGTTAGGCTGAAGAAAATACTAAGTAACATCATGCAATTGGAAGGTGGATTTGGAAAAAAAATATCACTGCTGTTTTACAGGGCCAGTGTGTCTAAGAGGTGGTAGCTTTTATCTGTACTGTAACAGGCAAGCCCATTCCATTGCTAGACAGCCCAAATTCTTTGCAGGATATTGTTGTGAGCCCAAATCTGTTCTTTCTGAAACCTTTTCCAGACCTAGTCCTACCCTTAAGAGCAGGGACTTTGATCAATTTTTGCAAACTGTTTGGGTAATATGGAAGCACCAAGGATTGGGATGGCGGATAGCTTGACAAGGAAAGATCCTAAGTGCACTGAGTATTTTTGTTTTTTGTATTTGGGTTCCAAATAATAAGGCTTATTACTTTTTTAGTACACAGAATGGGATATTTTCATACATATTATCATTTTATACATACATGCCTCCCCCCTCAAGGTTTTGTTTGAGGCAAAGTTTTGCTAAGGGAAGATCAGTATTTTGGAGAAACACTGAACAAACCTATTTCCTATTCTATACAGACATTAAAAGATCAACTGTTCCTTAGCTACTATGTTTGACAGATGCATTCACTGACTCCTCACACAGAAACTGAGCCTACCTGACTTCCTTATTTCTCTTTACACCATCTTCATTCTTTACTATTTGTTCTTTAAGTGACTATCTCAGATTGTGAGTTGCCAGAGCAGGGTTTAGTTTGACTATTCAAGATTACATATTGGGGGGCTGGAGAGATGGCTCAGCAGTTAAGAGCACTGGTTGCTCTTGCAGAAGACCCAGGTTTGAATCCCAGCACCCACACGATAGCTAACAACCACCTGTAACTCCAGTTCCAGGGGAATCTGATGCCCTCTTCTGACCTCTGAGGGCATTGCACAACAAGAATGCACTTACATACATGCAGGCAATATACTCATACACATAAAAATAGTAAATCAATTTTTTTTTTTTAAAAAGACTACATTTTGGCAAAACCCTACTCCAAACCCTAGTGCTGAATGGGAGAGGAAAGGTAAGCTGTAAGATGGTTCTGATCTCTCACCTGGTCATTGGGTTGGAGTACTGGTGCATCTGAGTTCTGTTGCCTGTGGTGCTGTGCCACCCTTGCCAGGATTATAGGGGATGTTCGGGGGCTGTCTAGTCCAGCATCTGACAATACCGAGTTCCGATTCATCAATGACTATAGGAAGAGAATTCTGTGAGCAGAAGCCTCACCTAGACACTTATCTTGGTAATGACAACCATGCTGACACTATGTTCTTGATTATACAGTATCTCCCTGAATCCTCATGACAGTCCAGAGGGAAACATCATCACTCAACCCACTTTTCACACAGAGTCAGGCTTTAGAAAGGTTATAAGACTTACTGAAGGCCAAAGAGCTTGTAGTATATTCTGAGTCGCAGCCTGTATTCTTCAGCATCAAGTATGTCACGTCCCACATAATGTAAACTATGAATTACCTAGGACCATACTACCCCTGGTACTTTCTTGGTGACTTTCCCACATACTGGTCTTTTTACAGATAATCTGGCATCTTCTCACCAACAGTCAGGAGCAGATGGAAAAGGAAATTCCAAGTGTTACCTAAAAATCAGGCTTTTAATGTTTTTAACTATTTATTCCCAGGTTTAATAAATCTGGTTAAGTAGACAGTTTGCTGTTGCTATCATTACTTCTACTCACTCATTTTATTCTTTCTAATCTTATATGCCTGGAATAGATAACCTTTGAGGCCAAAATCTAAAATTCTTTGACTAAAATAGATTCAGATCTGCAGCAAAGAGTATGAACCACTCCTGACACAGTGGGGTTTACTAACTTGCACTCAAAGCCAAGTTATGGTGATGACACAGCCTCTTGCTACCCTACATTGCTGACTGTGATATAATGCATGCCAGATGTGATGATCGGCCTGAAGATGCACGCCAAAGCCCCTTCAGAGCCAGAATACAGTGACTAATCTCGAGCTGGAATTGCAGAGGAGCTGTGCAGATGATGGGCCAGGGCTTTCAGTGGCCAGTAAGTAGCAGAGCCTTCCAGTGCCCAGGGGAGGGACAGTGAATGCATAAATATTAAATGGGCTTTGTGCCTGTTGGCGCTTACCTCACTGGTACAGGGAAAGCGTTCTGTCCCCGAGTCCAAGCCACTGTCTGCCTCCTGGGAATCCAGGGAAAGGTGGCCTGAGAAGAAGTGAATTTAGACAGTTTTAGAAAAGATCTCAGACCCAGTGGAAGAACCACCTTTATTCTGGGCATCAGGCTGGAAGGAGAAGCTGCCATCTTCCTCTTATCAGTTTTCCTTCAGCTCTCTCATGACCCGTGGCCTTTCCTGGTATACCTGCCTTTTACACTCCCCACATCCAGATTCTACTGCCTTTGCTTCTGGGAACAGGACATGTCACCTCTGGAAGTAAGACTGTTTGCAGTCCTTGTCTCAACTCCCTCTTCTGGTCACCATCCCTTTCACAAGTATTTGTTGAGTTCCCTGGTACCAATGTGCTGTCAGGCAAGCTGCTGTCTAGACCATGTTCTCTATGTAGCCATTGCTCACTTCTATGCCTCTAACTGCCCTGTGTATCAGTATTGCTTTCTTCCATTATTCTCAATAGGGTGGGCACTATGCATTTTCTTTCCCAGAATCTGACCCACAGGGAGAGACTGACAGGTAAGAAACCCTGTGTATGCCAGAGGAAAAACAAGAATGATAGGACTTACCTTCAGATTGTCTCTGGCTAGTTTCACCATATAGTGGAAGTATGTCCTAAAAGAGAAAAGACTAGAGGGTAGGCAAATTATGTGAGCCTCTCCCACTTCTGTTTCCCTCTTCTAACCAGAGCTGTATTTGTTTTCACAGTTAGTGGCCACTTCTGCTTCACTGTCTCAGAAAATGCCCAGCTAGAAGAGATACTGCTTCATGTGTGCGATCTGAGGGGGTGGTGACCCAATTATTATTAAGAATTATTAACAAAAACCTTACTTCATTTATCACCCTGGACTTCAAAATACTTATTGCCTTAATTGGGTTGGGTACAGGAAAGGACTTCCAACTCATCAAGGAATACAAAAATCTCAAGCCTGAACTGAGGAAAGATGCTAAACATCTAATGCCTATTGAGGGGTACTGACAGGTGTTGGCTTGGGGCTCAGTGTCCCAGCCACCGAGGAAGTGACATTGACAGCATTTCATTGTGCACAAAACACTACTTTCCAACTGCATTCGGTCTTTCAGCAATTCTAGGCAAGACAGGTTACTCCCATGTTATAAATGAGGAAACAGAAGCTTAGATGGTCAGTAACTTGCCCAAGTCACACCCTAGATCAACTCTCAAGCCAGGGGTGGAGCCCAGATATCCTGATTCTAAGCTCACAGTCTCAGACTTCATATTACAGACACCAACAGTGATAGCAGCAGCCTCTCTCAATCTCTCTCTCTCTCTCTCTCTCTCTCTCTCTCTCTCTCTCTGCTGATGACATGCTTCAATTCTGACAATGCTCCATTTGGTGGATTATGTTGTGATTTCCATTTTATAAATGAGGAAACAGAGAGAGGCTCCTAGGGATTAAGAAACTTGCTCATGAATCTGGAAGTTGGTGAGAACTATAGCAGGTAATTGAGACTCGATGATCCAAGTCCATAATCTAAGCTCCTATCCATCATAATCTGAAAGCTCCTTCAGAAAAGTGAATGTTTTTATTTGCCTGTGTCCCCCCAACTTTTCTGATCAGCATGCTTTAAAAAGAAAAGTCGAAAGCCTTCAATAATTCTATTGGTTTTGGAAAATACTGGTCTTAGACATAACTTTTTAAGAAGTTAGTTCTTATTTCCTTGGTGAATGTAAGACAGACACTAATTGTAAAGTCTCTGATGAGAACAGAAAAACAACTGCCTCCTGTAGAACTTTCCACTGAGTATGGTTAGCTGCTGATGTAGATCCTTCTCAGCTGACTGGGGATCTTTTGAGGTTGACTTGGAAAGCACTTGTGTTTCTTTGAGATCCTTAGAGAAAAGGCTACTAGATGAATGCTGAGTAAAGTCAGAGTTAGGAATATATATCTTGAGCACACTATTCAGAAGAGAAGGATGATTAGCATATTAAGACAGACTATCTGATTTATTTTCTATTTCTTCTTTTCACTGGAACTGTAAGTTCTTGGAAGACATGAAACAGTCTTTTTCTTTATACGGTACTGCAGGTAGGTATCACAATAGTGCTTAGCTTCTTTGGTGCTAATTCAGCCTTGAGGTCCTGCCATTGCTCAGGAGGAGACCTTTGGCTTGCTTTCTCCCTCCTACACCACTCCTGCTTGGTGTTCTAGTCTAGCCTGGTTGCTGTTCCTGGAACTATGCCTACTGCCACTCACCACCAAGCCACCAGTCTCCTGTTGGATCTTCAGCTGTAACTGAGTGACTCGCCGCCGAGCACCTTCCATCTGCTCTTCCAGCAGGCTGATGGGGTTCCGGCTATACACCTCACAGATATGCTAGGGGGTGAGAAAGAGGAAGAAGAGGAGGAGAAGGAGGAAGAGAGGGAAGAGGAGGGGAGAAGAGGAAAAGGCAGAGGGGTGGTTAGTTGAGAGCAGATACTTATCAGCAGTAAGAACAGGCAGTCATCCTAAAACAGGTTTCTGCCTGCTAGTAAGTAGATGCATGTTATTTTACCATTATTAGGATGAGAAAAAAGGGGTCAGTGATGAGAAACAGAATACATGAGGCAGCTGGAGAAGGAAAACAAAATAAAAGGCCTTCTCTAATCTCACCCATTTTTCAAGGGTTGGATGAGGTCCTACATCTTAAAAAAGGTTCCTAATGAAGTCACTGTCCAGATCACGATACAAAAAGTGCTAGAGCAAATTTATACACAATGAAAATCTAAGAAGAGTAGAAGAAAAACTTAGTTAGAGCCGCCATCATCCCTGTCCATCATCAGGAAGCTCTGGAGAGCAGGCACAAATCTACCTCTCATTGCATACTCCTTACAGCACGCAGCAGAGGAGAGCACAGAAGCTGAAGGAGAATGACTTGAATCCTGGCACCTCTATTTACTACCTGTGTAGGCTTGGGCAAGCTTGAATACATCCTTTTGAAAGAATGGACAGTATCTACTTCATGGGATGACTATAAGATCTGAATGAGATTATGTGAAGTGTTATCAGAACAGCTGCTGCAGTTATATGCTAGAACGCACAGCAGCTACGAATATTTCTGTACAAAGAGTCACTTGTAAAGCTTATTTTAGTTAAGATGACAG